CCCCCCCAAGCCTCCCTGACACAGATGGCAGAAAGGACAGTAGGGAAGTGGTACAGCCAAAATCATGGGTACCTTCAATCCTCTCTAAGCAGTGACATGAACCGTTCCAGCTCCTAGCGCTAGAAGAGCAGAAAGGTGCCTTACAAAGCATAAAAATACTACAGGGAATGGGGCAGTACCTGAGCACACATCATCCCAGGGTCAGTGGTGGCAAAACAGCAGTACCAGGGATTTTGGCACTTTCTCTGTCCTAGCCCAACTGGGAAGGAGCACAGATATTTTCTCACACACAGTGCACATTCTGGCTCATGACCATAACCAGTGGTACTCAGGTTAGAGAGCTCAGCTACATCATCTGCCAAGATGACTTCTGTGCAGGAAAGACATAGCCTACAGCACTTTCCCTTGAGCTCATCTTCATCTAAAATACATCAGAACTGAACTCTCAAGGCTTCTAACATTTATATAATGTTTTTTAAAAGGGAATGAAAATTTGGGAGACTTGGCAAACCTCTACTTCAAGAACTAAATGACTGGCAAAAACAAGAGCATCAGTGTGCCATAATGGATAATAAACAAACTTGATCATGGCGTGTGCTGGAAAATTGCAATTGAACAGATAAATGCCAGTGTGGTTTGTAAGGAATTTCTTTACAACCAACAGCAAAGAAAAAAAGATATGAGTATTCATTATATTATTTCAGTTGAGCTGCTATTAGCCAGATGGAGGAAGGGCAGAAGAAAAGCCAATTTCTTCTAAAACTGTGTAAGAAAATATTTTAGGACATGAAAAGTTATATTGTCCTTGGAGCTTCTCTTTCAGATAAACGTGTAACCAGAACTGTTCTCAGCCTATAATCTCTTTGAATTTCCACTACAATTTCAAAGAAATAATATTTATCTTCATTGGTGTAATGTTGAAGAAACTCATCTTGCAATTTCTTTCCACATGAAACATCTTATGACTTTACATCAGTTGTGGCTGTAGAATGTAGAATGAAAAGGGCAAAACTCACTAGAAAAATGCTCAAATGTCAAGGGCTCGCGGCATTGTTCTGTATCCTAAATAACCTTTATTTTCCCACTGTAGTGCAAATAACTCAAGCTGTGCCTGTGCTAGATCCAAATGTGACATCATATCTGTCAGTCTAAACTTGGTCTTTGTAAAACCCACTTCACTCTCAACTGAATGAAAAATGAAAGAAAAAGCAATAAATATTTATGTTAAGATGCACAGAAATATACCTTTATAAACCTTATAAAGACTAGCTACCAGGTTGCATGTGTTTTCCATGTCTCAGAATAAAGTTAAATAACCTTGACTTGACTACATGCAGAGCAGGCTACTACAAATTGCTTTTTGGTAACATGCTAATATAACTATGGTAACAAGAAATGAGCCAGCTTGGTTATCTTGACACCACTCTACATTGTTTTGACTAATCTGGCTACATATCAAGTTTCAGAAAAACAGGAACAACCATCACGTCCCTTGATTCATACTCCTGTCCCTGAACAAAAGGAATGTATTTTCACTCATTTAATTGACCTAAGAAAGACCAACTGCTACTCTGAAGCTCTTTGTCAAAAGCAGCAACTTGTGATTCCCAGATGAATCAACAGATTATTTATTCATTTCTAAACCTTCCTAATTTTTTATCACTTATTTTCCATTTTTCTCATCATTCCCATCTCTCAATTAGTGGGTAGGGCAGGGAGGAAATCTAGATTCTACCCATATTTCTGTATGGCCCTGAACACTGTTGTCAGCTTGCACATCTTAAAAATCACTGTCCATTTTTGTAGTGCTGCAAGATCAATCCATGAAAAGCATCAAGAATTGCAACCTGTTGTAATCTGGAGTATAATGTGCACTTTAACCTTAATGAAGTGGTAGCTTCTTATTACACTAGACATGAAGAAATACAGCATGAAAGAAGGCAAATTACCCCAAGTATTTTTAGAAGGTGCTTAAAGGGCTGAAATATGGCAAAGCACAAAGTAATCTTCAAGTCTGCTAAGCTATGGATAGCAAGTTGGACAGAAGGCTAGGTTATTCATTATGGCAGCCATGCGATACAGGAAATTCTAATTCAGAATCAGTATTGATTTGCATAAAACATGTATGCTAATCACTGAGTTTGGGCCCCAAAAGACATGAGGAACCTTCTCACAATAGCACTGAATGTCCATCCACTTGTTTGGTATGTAGGACATTTTATGTCAACTGTTACCAGTTGTATTATCTTGTAGGAATTAACACAGGAATCCCACATAGACAAAAAGCTCTTTCTACTACTACTTCATATTAGCCCTTTATCAATGTTCAGATACAGATCTTACCAAGCAAAACATCTATTTCTACTTTGTCTGGGCTCCCAAACAAGAGCTAGTCAGAACATAAAAATTTCTGGGAAATACACATTCTCTGAGGTTTTTAGGCTTTCCAACTTGACAACAAGAGCAGAAATAAAATTTTACTTTAAACCCTTCAACACAACTGTAATGAAGCATTTTGTAAGAGATCAACAAACAATCTAAAACAATTTTCTAATTTTTACTTCAGTATTAACGATGCAAAACACAGTTAATATGTTCTCCATGAATTCAACAATTAAAAAATCATCAGTAACTTGCTGGTTTCCTCTTTGAGGCGCTAATACAATGTTAGCACACTTATATGTACTCACATATAAATGAAAATATAGGCATGCATATTTATTCAAGCAAATCTCCATTTGAAGCAAACAGGAATCTTGTCTGAGTAAAAACTGTAGGCACTCTCTCTTAAATCAAGTTTATCCAAAATTCCATGAGGGAATAAAATTATGATCAAACAAATCTACAACTATGGGAAAAATAAAGCAATCCATTACCACAGGAGACATGAGCACTAACCTGTTGTCAGTATCAGCATTGCATTTTGGAGATAACAACTCAAAGGATTTTGTAAATTTCACCACCTGTCACAAAAAAAGTAACTTAAAATTGTTATTAAGATGAATAAATATGTAAGAAAGCAATAATGTAAGGTTCTACATTTAAACTCTATTTTTAGCCAATGGTCCTAGAATAAAGATTCAATCTGTATCCCTCCAATGGAGAACTCATGTTCAAAATACACACTGTGCACAGTTCACTAACAAACAGTATCTAATCAAATAGCATCTTTAGATTCCTTTGTGAAACTATTTTCTGCAACAGCACACGTTTCTCTTTAAAAGGCTTTGGAACATGAATTATGGAGCTTTGCTCAACTTTTACTTTCTTTAATATAGGAAAATAAACAGAAAGACCCACTTAGTCTACTAATTGCAACCAATTTTTCCTTGAATTTATGTGCCAACAGAACACAAGTGAAACATTTATGACATAGAACACAGGTCATGTTTTTGGATGCTAGTGTGGGTCCCCATCTTTCACTTTGGTTCTGTATTGTAAAAGCTTTTCATGTCATGTAAAAATGACAATATTTTAGACATGATTTAACATTGAGTTACTCTATATAGAGATCTATTTTGATATATAGGTTAACCCTCCAAAATTGGGGGAAATCAGGAAAATAACTGGTTTTCCATTTGTAAAAAAATGATAGAGTGAGTGGCAAGATGCTATTCTCCTACTCCAAATTAACCTAAGGTTTATAACTGTTAAGAAAAAGTTCAGGCTTATCTGAATACCTTGGCTATCCACTTTTCAGAATTTGGTCTAAAGGAATGAGAACTCATTGCCTGTGGTTTGGAAAAAAACCCCTCAGTGCTCAGAGGCAGCAATAGTACCAAAAGCAGAAAAATGAAGTGAACAATGCCACCCGCAGCCTGCTACTAACACAATGTACTTTTCTGTGAAAAATGAAAATCGTATTATACTGGCAAACACAGTAGCATTTTGTAAGAATATAGTAGAACTCTATCTTGTAATTATAAAATGGAGAGGAGGCAGTGTGAGTCTAGAGAGAGAAAATAAACTAGAAATATTACATTTCTGTAACAGAGAACATATAAAAGAAATACAACCCTTGATCTTGTTTTTATGAAAGCTAATGTAATTTAGGGTATACTCCACTGAAAGTACTTAATTTCTATTAGTTTAAATGAAATAAGAATCATATCTTTCCTCCAGAAAAGAAAATGTTGGGTTTTCCTTCTGCCACACACACAAACTTATGATCCTGCCTCTGCTAATCATTTAGACTTGTCACAGCCCAGCAACAAACAATCAATTACAGAGTCAGTGAATCCAAAGATACTTGGATAGAAAAAAGAATGATATTACAAGCAACATTTTTATCCTTCAACAACTTTTCAAATCAGTAGAAAGGAGGATAGTTCATATGAATAGCCTGAAAACACTGAAGGGAACTACCAGTATAGAATCATAGAATGGTTTAGGTTGGAAAGCACCTTAAGATCATCTAGTTCCAACTCCCCTGCCATGAGCAGGGACACCATGCAATAAACTATGTCACCCAAAGCTCTGTCCAACATGGCCTTGAACACCGCCATAAAGGCAGTCACTTCTTTTACTACTAATAACAATACTCAAAAAGCATTAAGCATTTTTAAAGAGGCTCTTATACCATGTGAATGGCAGTACTCCAAATTCCCAATGAAAGCCCCTGTCAAAAACGATGTGTGAATCTCAATTCTTCACAAATACTTTCATATATTCTACATACATCGGTTGAACATAACAGAGCTCTTCAATAAAAGGATTATTCCTTGGTCAAGTGGTCAGAGTAATTGCAAGAAATGCCCACCATATTTCAGTAATGCCGAAGGTTGTGCCTACTGGGGTTAAACAAAAACAGTGGTGTTGATTCAACCTGTACTTAACTTACATTTAAGAATGATGTGCTAGAAGAATACTTGCTGTCCATTACTCTACGTATGGAACAGCTTTACTACATAGAAGCAGCTGATCCACCATTCAAATATGAGCCTTGCTACACAATAGGCAGCCATACTTACTGGTGATTCAATATCTTCCAGTAGCAATACTGAGCATCGTTCACACTTCAGCAGCGTCTGGGCCCGGTGCATGATTTTCTTGACAATTTTCTCTAAATCAGTCTGTTCCTCAAAGAGATCATTCACTACTTCCAGTAAAGCCTGCATACAAGGACAGAAAAATGTTGTATTGGTTATAGATTTAATAATACATGGAACATTGCAAAGAAAGCATCATCTCTTGGATCGATTTTAATATGAGCCATCGGAAACTTTATTCAAATAAAATTCTTCATGATTATGGCAACAGAATTAGGGTGAGGGTATCTGAAGAAAGAAAGAAGTGTTTCTTAGCTCACAACTGGGTATAATCTACCTCTTAGCAAACAATGGGAATCTTTCAAACTATTTCACTGTAGCCCAATAATGAAACAATGGCTGTAATGCAACTCTACAAGTACACAGTATGGATTGAGTTACTTGATTTTCTATATTGAATTTGCTGATGCATTTAAACTCCGTTTTATTAATTTATGGCCCATTTTGCATGCTCAAAGCTGGAAAGAAAGACATCAGTACTTCCCTATTCCAATAGCACTCTGATCCAGTCTTTACCACTAACAACATGTCTGTAAAATGCAATGTTTTAAAACAAAGGTCTTCCCCTCTCATTTCACCTACTTTAAAAATAATAGGCCATGTTCTTTCTTACCACGTCTCCAAAGAAGTGTGCTTTATCCTTTATTCTGGTTTAAGGGACCAACACTAAAGAACATCCATATAAGTAAGTATATAAATGTTAGTGGTCTTACTCTCCTAACAGAGTGGTTATCAACAAAGTGTTGGTCATAGTCACTGGAAGTTGCCACCATTGGTACCCAGTTTGAAAGGGAAGGCAAATATGAGCTTGTCCATCACACGTTTCTTGCCAACTAATTTTGACCATGGACTACGCAAAGTCAAAGACCACCAACAGGTCAGAAATGCAATTAAGTACAGGTCACCATGCAGCTGTCAAACACAAATATATTTGTTATGCCTTGCATGGCTGAAGCAGCAACAAGAAACAAAGAACCTGTATTTCTTATCCAATTTCCTAATGTGTCCAACCACCAGAATTTACCATTTTCTAATAGAGAATGTCCCTAATACTATGCCCTACTCTGAAGATTAAATGCTGACTCCTCAATATGTGTCACTGTTCCCTGCAGGCTGGCAATCTGCAGCAAATTTTAAGTCTCTACATAGTCAAAAAATTGTTTTCTTTGAACATCAAACAAAGAAAAACATATTCAGGAGAAAAATCTTTTCTCCCCAGTTCTCCACATATCCATCCCAAAACATAGTGGTCTGTAGTCAGACCTAGACAGAAGGCAAGCTCAGATACTCCATGACCCTTAAGTATATACACCACTAGAAAGGGCTAATGCTCATCTTCAAAGTAGTGGAAAGCATTAGTTTCCATACATGGAAAGCACCAATATCCTGAATGTATAAATATCAGTGTTCAGTGTACGGACTCACCCTGCTGTAGTTTCCCCTGCTCACTGAAGCAAGAGTAGGTTCAACACTGCTGCTGGTATTTCTACTGAAGCTTTGGAACTGTGATCCATGATAACAAAAGTATCATTTCCCATCATTGCACCAGCAATCATCAGTAATGAGAATAATGTACCTATGCAGACACACGCTGTCAAAACCCTTCACATACAGGTTTTTTTCTTGTTTACTTTTACAAAGATAGATCCACACTATTTGCACATGAATTGACTATAACAAACTCAGGATGGCAAAGGTTTGATATTTCTGGAGTTCTGTGAGAGTTTGAATCCCTGCCAAAGCAGCACTCTCTCCTGCACTGTCTGTATCACAAATGCAATTGTTTCAGCACTATGAAACACGGATCTGACATCAGGAAACAACAGCCACCACGGAGTATATTTCCCTCCCACGCTCTGTGTTTGCTACCTCAGTGAAGACAGCGATCTGTTGAAAATTCATTTTTTGAAATAAAACATAGTTGAAAGTGTCTGCTTAGCAAACACCCATGCGTAGCTGGAATCTGAAGGAACAAAAGCCAGGAGTTTGATACTCGTCCAATATACATTTTTTACTTACCCTACTTCTGTCATATTCCTTCCTTGAAGCTGCAAACAGCTGGGCATTGGATATGGCAATCCCACAGAAAGGGAGATACATCTGCATCACCTGGTATAAAAAGAAACTCCCAGTCATTAAAAACAATTGCAATTAGACACTCACGTTAGTAGCAAAGAGACCTAAATGTAAGGGACATGTCCCAGGAGTGTCTTGGCTTGCTCACTCTTCAGCAGAACACTAAGCACAAAACAAAAATTATCATGAGTAAGGCACATCAAATGGGTGGAACAGAGACCAAAGAAGTAGGAAAGAACAAATGCATCTGAGTTCACAGGTCCAGGCAGTGAGGGTCCTCTGTAACTTGTCTGGGAAGCTGCAGATTCTCAAGTCTATAAAATCTCTGCTGAAGACTACATGAAATTACTGTAGATACTAGAGGTTCCCTAGAAAAATATTCTTTTTTTCTGGACTGCTTTTTTGTTCTAAGCTCAACAAGAAAGCTTGAGCCACATTCGTGATAATTTCTAGAGGATGTAGATTTTGGAGAATGCCAGCACAGTGGAACACAGCACATTGATCCAAAACTATCATCCAGAAAGCTGATTTTCTTCCAAATGAAGGGGAAGGGGAAAGGTGGGAGGCTAATAAACATGCTTGAAAAACAGCCTTAATTCATCACCATGCATTAAGAAAGATTGGACAAGAGTGGGAAAATATTTTGAGGCGCGCAAGATGACTTTAGGCTAGCTATGTGAAATGGGTAAACTAGGCTAGTCTAATACCTGTAGGACTGGCACTTACACAAGGATGACAATGGATCCAAGTCCAATAACATTAGCATTTTTAAGCCACATATTTATAACAAGACTGTAACATACTGCCCCTGCTGAGTGGTAGCTTAAGTCTGAGACATCAAGTAAATTTTATAGGTGCTGAATAGCCTTAACATTTGCAAAGCCAGCGAGAGCGAGGACACTCAGCTGTTTACAGAGCCAAAAGAGTGCTTACAGCAGCTAACATTTCTCTCTTGTCTGTCAAGTGGGAGATCCAGGGAAAGCAATCCTTTCTGTGACAAGTTCTGGTATCAAGAAGGTGCCATTTGTCTTTGAAATTCCATTTAATTAGAAAATCACTGCTAACCCAGGGAAGCAGGCTATTGAGGCTGTTGTGGGGGAGGGCAGAAAACTGCAATCATCCAGGAGAACTTAAACAGCAGCAACTGCTGTTCTACTTTATCTTCCTTAAATACCCCATTGGCTATACGTCTGCTTAGCCTATGTTTGAGTAATGATGAGTTTTCAAAAAGGATCTTCAGATCCACCAAATTTTGTGCCTTCTCAGCTGCCATTCTTGCATAATAACTGCAGAATTTAAGGGCGCACACAAATACACCTATACTGCTAATTTGCAAACATTTTACTTTCATCCTTCTCCCATCAAGGTTCTCTCAATGAAAATTACATACTTTAGACTCTATGAACATTCTTGGAAAGGCAGTAATTAAACCAGCCAACTATCACACCAGATCTGTAGGGAAGAGTACACAAAGTGAAAAATAAAGACAGACTAGTAACAAATCACTAAGAGGGGTTAATTTTTTTTAGTAAGAACTTCTCTGAGAAAAACTTTTGCATATTTCAGGTTAGATAAAATGAAACAAAAAAAACCTATCTATATTTTCTTGTAATAGTACTAAATAAAAGTAAGAGATGCAGAGCAGAAAAACTTTAACCTGGGAAAAATGTGATGTTTAATACAATTATAAATATTATAGTGAGACTGGATATGTTTTTACTGAATAAAAATAATTAAATACTAGTATTTATTGGAACCTGTATTCCCAAAAGTAATGTTACCCTTCGGCAATGAAAAGCATATAAGAAGTTTATGAATCTTCAGCCATCAGAAGAGCAGCAAACAAATGGCAAAGTTGTCTTTTTCAGCAAGAAAAAAATATGACTTTGCCATATTGAATCACACTGCTCTCTGGAACCCAAGATTCCAAAGCACTGACTTTGTACAGCCATGAAACACTTGCTTACGAAATGTAAGTCAGCAACTTTCCTAACTCTTGACATCATTCTTTTCACCCCTCAAGCTAATTGTGTAAGGTGCCATGCAACTATGAAAGAGACACCAAGTTAAGATAGTAGAAGAAATTAATAAACTGCTACAGGTATGAAGAAATAAATGAATAAATAAATGAAAAACCAACTGTCTGGTAGAGAGGAACCGCCCTGTGCCAACAGATAAATCAGTTATCCCTGTTTGCCTAAGAAAAATTGACAAAACAAAAGCCTACAGTCATTCCTCTTTTGTACTTTCTGAAGGGTGTGACTGCTGCCTAAATTGTTTTTAACAAATTGTAGTGCAATACCGAATAAATAAAAAATAGAAACATTTCTAATGCTAACTGTATCTTAAATATGATTTTTTTTTTTAGTCAAAATTACAGAATGGAGTAGAAAGCAATTATTACATTCTGAATTCAAATTACAAATTTAAATCAATAGGACTCAAGACTGCTTGACTTGACAGGACTCAAGCACCTACGGCATCTTGATGATCTGGCTGTTGATACTCCATACAAGTATGGAGGAACATAATATTAAAGACTTGCCTGAGCCACGTACTGTGAGGAGCTGGTATTTTTATTCAAAAAAAAAAAAAAAAAAGGTGTGGAGTGGAAAAGCAATGAGTTGAGAAAATGGCACATACCACTATGTTGTGCTTTAAGCCCAACCAGTAATTCAGAACCACGCAGCCGCTCCCTCCCTCCCTCCCTTCTTCCCTCTGCTCCCAGCAGGATGGGGAGGAGAATCGAAAGAATGTAACTCTCATGGGTTGAGATAAGAACAGTCCAGTAACTAAAGTATAATACAAAACTGCTACTACTACGACTACTGCTAATGATGATAAGGGAAATAACAAGGAGAGAGAATATAAAACTAAAAAGGGAAAGGAAAAAAACCAACAATAAGCACAAGTGATGCACAATACAATTGCTCACCACCTGCCAACCAATACCCAGCCCAACATGAGCAGCGATCTGGGCCTTCTAGGTAACTGCTCCCAGTTTATATACTGGTAATGATGTGCTGTGGTACGGAATACACCTTTGGCTAGTTTGGGTCAGGTGTCCTGTCTCTGCTTCCTCCCAGCTCCTTGTGCCCCTCCTCACTGGCTGAGCATTAGAGACTGAAAAGTCCTTGATCAGAGTTAGCATTACTTAGCAACAACTAAAAACATCGGTGTGTTATCAGCATTGTTCTCAGACTAGAGCCAAAACACAGCACTGCACAAGCTACTAAGAAGGAGAAAAATAACCGTTACAGCTAAATCAAGGACATGTTATAAGCCAGATATATACTTTTTTCCTACTTTTAGGTGGTAGTTATATAATTACTAATCCTCTGGTGCTCCAAGGTAAAAAGCATATAAGCATATTGCATCAGTGAACCATAACACATTGTAATTCCATTTCCATTCCCTCTGATTACTACCATTTCTACTTAAATAAAAGGATGTAACTTACAATGACCATAAATCACAGTTCATATTTTACTATCTTAATTCTCCAGCACGGGTATGCTTCAGTAATATAAGACTGACTTTTGGTAACAGCAAATAAATTGCACAGAAGACTAAATTGTATTGTGAGGACAAAGTATTGAAAGGTTGGTCATAGACACATTATTAAGTAGCACATGACAGGAAATGACACAGATAAATGACATGGTTATGTTAACTTGCCTTGCTGAGACAAGATCTTGTTAAGCAGGAGCTGTTTTCTTTATCCCTGTCTGCTGTTCTTCTTGTAGCACTGAACAGGCCAGGACAGCTTGCCTCCACCAGCCAGCGTTTGTACAGGTTTTACCAAATAGTTTCATTAAACAGTGAAGCCAGCCTGATGCTGGAACTTGTAAAGGAACCACTGACAACTGATCCAAAGGTTGAGTATGCAACATGTTTCCATTACACTAATGCACAAACACTGGTGTGAAACTCAGGAAAAAACACCCAACGTACCCTTCTGAAAGACATAAAATAATTTCTCTTTGCTATCTTGAAGGCTATTTAAATTTTCTTTCAGATACACTCCATTTTGAAGCAATGGAGTATATCTGAAAGAAAATTTCCTTCCACATCCACTTTGAACTAGTGACAGGAAAAGAGCCTGCAGATTTATTAAACAAAGCAATTTTATAAGAAAGTAAATAGAATTTAAACCCATCAAAAATACAGCTTTAACAGATATACCTCATTAATTTATTTTGGCAAATAAGATTAGTTGAATTGATTCATCACAGTACTTTGCAGCATATTAATGAACAAATCAGTCAATATGTAATAGACTATTTTGTAAAAATTACATTCAATCTTAATAATAAGCTAATCTAATGAACCTGCCAAGATGTTGGAAGAGACTTCTATTTTTTTCATGCCATCTATAAGGCATCAGATACAATAACTGCAGGTTAACAAGATTATGTTGTGAATTACTTGAGCATTCAGGGTTCAGGTAACCTGACACAGTTTCTCACATCTAACTCTCCAAGAAGTACCGCATCCTTGGGTAGCAACTCCACTCACCTCACAGATTCACAGCAGCATACAAGAGCTAAAAAGCTGTGCTCACTTACAAATGATTCAATATTTTATCAGAGCAGGAAACCTTCTGTGAAAAGACGAAGTAACAGGCACTGGTTCGATATCTCAACCTTCTAATTTCAAAAATATATTCTTTCATTATAGGGTTATTTTATGTTAGGAGCATTAAAACACAACTACCAAGGGAATGAATAGGATAAGTACTAGAAGCTTTAACATTCAATTATGCACTTAAATTTTCAACTAGATCCTGAAGATGACGTATCCTTTCTGCAAAACTACACCAGTAAGATCAAATAACCACCCTGACCATAGTTACTTTTTCCTTCCCACAGCAGAATATGTTCCATTGCTTTAGCATCGTACACATGTCCAAACTTGTACGCTCAAAGTTAGAACTTAAATCCACAGTAAGAACTGAAGCAGTAGTCCGATATTTGGAAGTACAAAGCATTTCCAAATTCTGCATTACTAACTGCTAGGACAAGCTGGAACCT